TCCATACAATATTGCATTACCAAGAACCGGAACCAAACAACACTTGGTCTGGGTGTCACACCACACGTTTGGTAGCAGTGATCTCTTCACATTTTACAAGATATTGATGACAACTGTCCTACGCCGTGTAACAGTCGTAGATCCTGCAGGTCCGTTTACTGCACCCTATGATCGATAGTAGGCTAGTAGCATAATGGCAGCTGTTTGCCGCGCCTAACTAAGCTATTCAGGGCGTGCCTTGCCCATATAAAATAATTATAAACTTCTACGTACGTGTAACGGTTGAATCTATAGAATTATGCTATATGTATAAAATATTTATAATATGTATAAAATATTTATAATACGTATAAAATATAAAATTCTACGTGTAACGAGTGAATCTATGCACTTATAAATGACGTCGAAGTGGCTAGGAATATGTACCAGCTGCTGCTGCTGATGATGATGACGACGATGATGATGATGATACTACATGCAGCTGCAGCTGCTACTGCTGCTGCTGATGATGATGATGCTACATGCAGCTGCTGCTGCTGCTGCTGCTGCTGATGGTGATGATAATGGCAATGATGATGATACTACATGCAGCTGCTACTGCTGCTGCTGATGATGATAATGACAATGATGATGATACTACATGCAGCTGCTACTGCTGCTACTGCTGCTACTGCCGATACTGCTGCTGCTGCTGATGATGATAATGACAATGATGATGATACTACATGCAGCTGCAGTATCCGGCATGAAATTTTATAGGATACTTTGCCATCGTGTTGTTTACGGAACACGCACGCCTACACGTCTAATGTGCACACTTGAAAAGCAAGTGATGAAAGAACCTGCGACAGGACTGCTGCACTTGCACCCTATGATCGATAGTAGCATAATAGCAGCTGTTTGCCGCGCCTAACTAAGCTATTCAGGGTGCACCGTGCGTGCCTTGCCCATAAAAAATATAAACTTCTACGTGTAACGGTTGAATCTACCATCAAGAGATGTTTTGCATGTTTCAGTAATAGAATTATGCTATATATGTATAAAATATTTATAATATGTATAAAATATTTATAATACGTATAAAATACAAAATTCTACGTGTAACGAGTGAATATATGCACTTATAAATGACGTCTAACACAGCACACGTCTGACGACACACACGCACGTCTGACGACACACACGCACGTCTGACGACACACACGCACGTCTGACGACAGGCACTTGAAGCGTTTCAATAAAATATAATGCTAACTAAATACGAAATCTATTTACTACCAAATTCTTAATGTTTCTATACTCTCTTTCACCTATTATTGCCGCCAGTTTCTTGTAAATTCCGTCCAAATCCTACGTGGAACCATATACGCTGCCGCCGGCCATTGCTCTCGCGGCTCCATTGTTGCACGCTTACACTAATATATATAGTATATATATTAGTGTAAGCGTGCAACAGTGGAGCCGCGAGAGCAATGGCGCCGGCAGCGTAGGGCCTATATTGTTGCACGTAGGATTTGACAGGAAACTGTCGGCAATAATAGGTGAAAGAGAGTATAGAAACATTAAGAATTTGGTAGTAAATAAAATAGATTTCGTATTTAGTTAGCATTATATTATATTGAAACGCTTCAAGTGCCTGTGGTCTAAGTGGCTAGGAATATGTACCAGCTGCTGCTGCTGATGATGACGATGATGATGATGATACTACATGCAGCTACTGCTACTGCTGCTGCTGCTGCTGATGATGATGATGATGATACTACATGCAGCTGCAGCTGCTGCTGATGATGATGACAATGATGAGGATGCTACATGCAGCTGCAGTATCCGGGATGAAATTTGATAGGATACTTTACCATCGTGTTGTTTACGGAACACGCACGCCTACACGTCTAATGTGCACACTTGAAAAGCAGGTGATGAAAGTAAAGAATAATTTTTTTATATATAAATATATAAACTCACGACACAAAACTTCCACAAACCAAAACGTGGTCGTTACTCACGCCTCTAGCAGCCTCATTAAAATAATTATTTCAAATATGGAGTTAAACACGATAACTAACGACATATCCTAAGCAATTCTACTCGCAAATTTCACATACTCTGCACTTATAAATACTAATGAACACACCGCATTGTATTATAGTTATCGGCCACGCATGAAATAAATTAATAACAGTTCAACCAACAAATTTCAAAAGCCATATCAATATCATTTCAAACAAATTCACCGAGCTAGATATTCTACGTAGATTACTGTACAATCAAGCATAAATTAATTAACTTAATAACTATAGGTAGGCATATACCTCACACACGTTGTATTTTTCCCATCAAGAAATCAAAAAAGTAATAATCATGTCCAACAACGCATATCCGGATTCCAATTCAATGACTTATCGAATACAAATATTGGGTTTAGATTATTGATTACAGGCGGCAATGTCACAACTCCCGCTTGGAGAGTAATCTAAGAGCAACACATCCGGGCTATTACAGACCGTGTGACGTCAATCACGTCCGTAGCAACACGTAGTGGTTAGAGCAGGGCGGTTGCTTTTGTGGTTTCTCCGATTTCGTAACCACCGTAGATAAACCCGCTACTGCATACCACCACGAATATGAGACTATTATTTGCATACACAAGACTTCGAACTATTATAGCAAACAAACATAATATATGCTGCCTCTATTCACTTCACCATGTGATCCAATGATTCATTGTGTTTCCATCTATCTATCTATCTATCTCTCTCTCTCTCTCGCTCTCTCTCTCTCTCTCTCCCTCTCTTTCGTGCGATCTGTACCTCTTTGGATCGCGGACACACGCGCACGCACGCACGCACGCACGCACGCACGCACGCACGCACGCACACACACAAGGCCGTACGCAGGAAATTTTCTGTAGGGGGGTAAAGGTACTCCCCATGCCCCCTGTGGCCTAAAGTTTTGCAATTTCACATTTCTTTATTTAAAGTAATATTTCTTTGATGATTTAAGATAACCTTTTGTCACATTTCTATTTTATTTCTAAAAGTGTACAGTATTTGTCCCATTAAAAGGCATACTCTGAAAATCTCTAGGGGGGGGGGGCAACTGCCCCTGCTGCCCCCCTGCTGCGTGCGGCCCTGCACACACACACACACACACATGCGTACGTAGTGGTATATTTGCGCCACTCCCGCACCCATATGCACACACACACACGCACGCACACACACACACCCTCATTCTCATATAACAAAACTAATATACCACTCACACTCTTGCACTGCATTTTAGTTTACAGCTATATAGCTGCTGTGTAGTAGTTCTTCTCATTCCTACCAGCCTGCCAGCCTGCGAGCCATCATTACTGTCTGAGCACTACCAGTATAAAGTGCAGAGTCAAAATACAGCAAGTCATAAAATCAGGCCACTCCTTACTCTCGCGCTAGTGCTTGCTTTCGCTCTCCAAGCTCCTTCTCTTCTCCCTTCTCCCTCCCCCTCCACCTCTCAGTCTCGCCTTTCTCTCCACATCCCTGCTGGCCACACATGAACTACATAACATGTCCAAGTCCAAGACTTGTAACCTGATAGCTGATGCAAAAAAATGCACCTCGTACAAACGGCACTATATCGCACCAAAACAACAGAACCACTACCCAACCTATCTGCACCACTCCTGTATTTGTCTTCAACGCATTGAAGAAAAATACGTATTATATTGAAAAGGGAGAAAAATTTGCATGTAATTACAACCAGGTGGTTGTAGCATGCCTTTTCTTAACGCCTGCATCTTGGAAGACGGTTACACGCTGTGCCCACGAACTCTGGAGGGTGGCACATCTGGAGCTTGCCTACACGCGAGTAACCTCAGGGAGATAAACTAGGTTAAACTAGTTAGCTGCACCGCACGTGCCACCGTCGGTCGTAAATTGACATCACAGCTAAGGTACTCGGCGCCGTTGAGGCACGGTCTAAAGGGCAAGTTTTTACAGATCATTCACACTAATTACGATCGTAGAAATACTCATCACACGAGCCATTCGCGATCGATTAAACAGCAACGGATAACTTCATAGCAATCACGGACACAGTCCACGGTTGACTGTCTTTACTCTAGCATTCATGCAAGAGCACATGATCGACTCTAGCATGTTCTACGATTAGAGCCGGGTGTTTCTCTAATAAATAAAAACAGTTGCTATCCAGCACTGCGATAGCAACCCGTGGCATTCTACGGGAGTCCTAACTCAGCATGGCATGGGTATAGTCTTCAATGTCCACCCTCAAGGTGCGTGTAGCTAAGTGGCATCAAGAGTCCATTTCTATTATGGACTCTTGATGGCATGGGTAGTCTTCAACGTCCGCCCTCAAGGTGCGTGTAGCTAAGTGGCATCAAGAGTCCATTTCTATTATGGACTCTTGATGGCATGGGTAGTCTTCAACGTCCACCCTCAAGGCGCATGTGTAGCTAGCCGGCATAGCTAGTCATCAACGTCCGCTCTCAAGGTGCGTGTGTAGGCTAGCCCCGGCATAGCTAGTACATCAACGGTCCGCTCTCAAGGTGCGTGTAGGCTAGCAGGCATAGCTAGCGAATCAACGTCGCGCTCTCAAGGTGCGTAGTAGGCTAGCCGCATAGCTAGTCATCAACGTCCCGCTCTCAAGGCGCGTGTGTAGCTAGCCGGCATAGCTAGTCATCAACGTCCGCTCTCAAGGTGCTGTGTAGCTAGCCGGCATAGCTAGTCATCAACGTCCGCTCTCAAGGCGCGTGTGTAGCTAGCTGGCAATAGCTAGTCATCAACGGCCGCTCTCAAGCACTGTGTAGCTAGCCGGCATAGCTAGTCATCAACGTCCAGCTCTCCAAGGCACGTGTGTAGCTAAGCCGGCATAGCTAAGTTCGTTCAAGAAACGTCGACGGCCGAGACCCACAGTTTCGACCGGCGCAGCGAGGTGAGGTGGCAAGAGTGGTGGGCAGGTCGATCCAATCCAGGCGGATCTTGAACATGAGGTGATTGCAAGGCCCCACTCATCTTCATCCAGCATTTCCGTCCGCTATCGCAGCGAGAAACAACACCAAACGCATCACTGAATGCCTAACGTATAGCAAAATACACCGAAAAACAAAAAACACATACTGTGCAGGCCGTACCAGGGGGGGTTCGGGGGGGGGGGGTTCGAACGAAATTCCCCTTCCGAGCCCCCCCCTAAGCAAAAAAATTTTTTTTTTTAATTGCAAGAAAATTAACCATCAGGTCGCTCCATTTTAGTTGTAAATAATTGCAAAATCTCCAATCGTGCGGAGGGGTGAACAGTGAACGACACCCCTCCCACCACCTCCCCCCCGGTCGCTATGCTCCCGGCTCGGCCTGGCTCGCTTCGCAGCCCGGAGCAGGGGGCGTGTACAGGGGGGTCGCAGGGAGGCCCAGACCCCCCCTTGATCGGCGCAGAAAACGCATAGCTGAAGGGGTCTAATTTTAAAAAAATTTTCTGAGGAGACCCCAGACCCCCCTTCGCGTGCTCGCAACTTTGGGTTACGGTTTGAACCCCCCCCCCCCTGGTACAAATCCTGTACACGCCCTTCGCCGAGCAAATTGCCAACATGTGAAAAAACGAACCGTCCCCCCCCCCAATATAAAGTGGCTACGGGCCGCTGCTGTGTAACTATTTAGCCAATACAGAGACTCCCCGACCTACGAACAATCGAGTTACGAACTTTCGATGATACGAACAATTTGCCCTGAAGTCCATTAGTGTGTAATGTCAATATTGGTGAATAAAAAGACACAATCGCCCGCCTGATCTTGACTTTCGCCAACTCCTGTGTTCACATATATGTTTACCTAGATTACTCGATGTTCACACGTACATATACTACACTACTGTAGAATACTGTATACGTACGTACATATGTTCGACTTACGAACGACCGCTCGGAACCGAACATGTTCGTAAGTAGGGGAGTCTCTGTACTTAAAATTATGTATACATGTGCATACTTGCACTTGTACATACATGTACATACTTGTACATACATGTACAAGTAAGCCAGCACTTACATGCCATGCGTTTTGAATGACGACATGCTGCATAATACTACAAATACATGACATGACGTCGTGTTCTACAATGTTATAATAGGCTGTGTTATTACTACATAATACTACAATACATTATACATACGACCTTATGTCCCACCGGGGGACCAACAAGATAAGAAGAAAAACTATAAATACATGACATGACATCGTGCACTATAATGCTATATTAGGCCGCGTTCTTACATTACACGATATCACATTTTTTATTACATTACACGAGACAGGGTTCCCATTACCTATCGACGTCGGCCAACTTCCAGATCTTGCCGAGTACAGAGTTGGGCAGCTTGGACTTCACCATCTCCATCTTCGCTGCAGCGCCCGTGATCTTGCCATCGGTGACGTTCATTGAGCGAAACATGGCGTCGTACTCGGGCTTGTTCTTCAGCACGACCCACTCCGCATCCTCCTTGCCCTCGTCTATCCCCTCCCCGCTGCCGATGACGAAAGGAGAATGATCGGCACCTGTGAATGCCTGTAACGAGTAAGGGGGAGAGAATATGATCAAGGCGCGAGCAACGTCGCGATTTCGCGACGCGGCTTGTCGAGCAACAGTTTTAACAACAGTTTGTCTTTTCTGGAAATTTTTTTTCTAATTTCAAAACGTCCTGTCTTAATGTAGTGTATACTGAGCCATTCTACATATTTGGTGTAAAAAAAGCACAAAAACATATTGTTTTTATTCACCCCTGAAAAAAATGTAATGAGTAAGGGGGAGAGAATATGATCGAAGCACGAGCAACTTGGCAATTTCGCGACGCGGCTTGTCGAGCAACTGTTTTCTCGAGGTAGAGGTACGGTGGAGAATTATGCGATCTTTTCTCTGCATGTTCAAAACGTCCTGTCCTAATGTAGTGTATTCCGAGCTATTGAATATGTCAGGAGTGAATGAGAACAAAAAAAAACATTGTTTTATTCACCCCTGAAAAAAAGCAACTATTAACAACCCATGCGTTTCTCGAACACACGAACCAACGAGCTGTTTAAAGGAGTTAAGTGGGTGCCAAAATCATGCCAGTTATCACAGGTTTTTTGTATATATATATATATATATATATATATATATAATCCTTACGCATTTTTCCCACAATTGGCAGTGCAAGTATGACATCGTGTGTCATTTATCAGTACATACGGCAAAACATAGTAAAAGTGTTCAAAGTCAAAGAACCACAGGCCACGCATGTTATGCTGCGGGCCGCTACATGTTCGCAAGCTGAACTGCAGCCGAACACCAGAGTACCTACAGCAGCGCGTTTTTCATTCCGAAGTTAGGAAAAATTGAGGAATTACGAGTTAATAATGTGCACACCCAGCTAGGTCAACACAGACCCCCCTGACTTATAGTACTGTAAGAGTACAGACATGCATTCACATTTCCTACTAAGCTAGAACAAAACATCATGATGGAAAAGTTCATTTCAGTCAGATCAAAAATATTTCTGCAATAGCGTCAGAGCGGCCCTGCTGCGGAAGTTAATCCATGTTTTTCTAACGAGCTTCTAGTGACTTGTCTAGTGTGGAAATAGGCAATGAGAGAATTTAAAGTTAAACAAAAGTTAACTTCACAACAGCTGAGTGCATAGATATACTTCTCAGTTCTGGGAGGAAATTACCTTAGTAACAGTCGTACATACAGCAGCTGCACTTGTGTTTCCTGTAACATCGCGTTACATAACCACACCCGTTCAAACAGTAAATGGAAATAACCGTGATAAAATAGATTATCTTTTAAATATAGTGATAATATATTAGTGATACTTAGTGTTGTCAATCGGTTGTAATTTCGTAATCGATTAAATTCTGGACCCAAGTAACCGATGATCGGTTACAATCGTTACTCGGCGGTGTTTGAATGCCTGCGTGTGCGTAAGTCGTGTGCATGTACGAGTGTGGCATGTATGTGCTTGTTTAGCCCTGTTTAACTGTTTGTGTTTTGTACTGTTTTACTACTGTGTGTATAATACATGTATGTTAATAAAGGATAAGTTGTATAGTAGCGATGATATCTCTGATTCTCATCACTTTTCCAAGTTTTACATTTATTTCAATTTTTTTTTTTTTCCGATGAAATCGATTATGGATGTTGATAACCAGCGCTTGGTTCGAGCCACTGTTCAAACGATGATCGAGTATAATCGCTGATACGTGACATCACTAGTGATACTGTAATATATAGATTATACACTTAGTGACAAATAGATTAAGTTATTAACTCCAGCTATTATATATTAAACATATATAATAAATGTGGTCACAAACTGCCAAAAACTGCAGTTACATACACCCAACCCACAATCCGAAACGCCCACCCCTAACTCATATACGCAAAATCACCACACTGCATCAGTGAGTACATGAATAGAGGAAGTGAAAAAGCATCATCTTAAATACAGCCACAACATAAAGACACATAGTAGTAGCAGCTGCATAAAATGCCACGAGTCATGTACACTAATTCACAGCAGCACACAACAGTCGATGCATTGCT